AGTTGTATTTTTGCAAATGTGCACAAAAAGTGGTATTTTTACAATTGCCCCATAAATATTTTGCTTCTATTGGACCTAAATTTAAAACAATAATACAAACCAAATTGATAACACGAAATTTCAAACAATAATACAATTAGAGATACGACAATTAAAAAAAATAGTATCCAACATTCTACTTATTGTGCATAGTAAAATTTAAACCTACTAAAACATAGTACATTACTAATTGTCGAACTAAAATAGTTTTATAAAAAAATATTATCCGTGTATAAGAAGGACAAGAACGAGAGTTGCTTTAATTTCTCTAGCTTTAGAAAAAACAAAAGTTATAGGTTCGTTGTATTCCTCCATAATTAGTTCGTTGTATCTCGTTTTGATTATCCTGTTTCTCTCAATTAGTCGAGTACCTACGGAATACTTTTTCTTAATTACCCATGGCGATTTCAATTCAACTTCAAGATTTCTGAATCTTCTTTGTTTAATCCTTATTTCCTCTGTTTTTTTTCTAAAAAGAATCTTCTTTCCTTGTATTTTGTTTAGGTTTCTACGCATTCAAGTTTATTGTTGGATTTATCTTCGTAGCACCATCAAAGTTCTTTACAGTGTCACATAATGTTGCCCAAGACATCGGAAACAACTGATAAAGAAATGATGGTGTAAGCATTCCAATTTTTATTTTAGCTTCAGTGTACTGAAATTCGGTCACTATAAACTTTTTTTGCACTTGGCAGTCTCCCAAAGTGGAAAGCAAATCTATTGAGGATAGTGAACTCAGACTGACTCTCGTGTCACCAACTGACTCAGCAAGTAACGGTTCATTGAAGCAGGAAGCAGTGTTTGACAATTCAAACCTCAATGATTATGTAAGAAGAGTACTTGGCCCTTTAAACAACCTAGCTTGTTTCTATACTGGGTGCAGGTGCAATACACACAGTTTATATACTTGTTTGTTTTACTCTTAAAATTTTCTCTTAACAGGAGCTTAGGATGGTTGAACCTGCTGAGTTAAAGCCAGCCAATGAGGCAAGAGAATCTGAGTTTAGGTCTCCTACGGATGCAAATGATGGAAGGAGGATTAAGCCAACGCAAGGGTTTAATAATGGATGAGGTTATTGGCGATAGACCAAAAGATTATGATGATTCTATTGCTTTGGAATCAGAACCAGTGTTTACAATTCCCAAAAGTCTCCTTGAGGAATTTGAGAATGTTGTGAGAGATTGCACAGTAACACTGGTATCAGCTGCACAAAAGAAGATTGGGTTCATAAGGGTGCGAACCACTAGATCTACGGATTCAGATACGATCTCTCCGGAAGACGTACTTCTCCATGCTTCTCTAAGCATGGATGAGAGAGAGGAGTGATCGGTTTTTTCTATCAGAGAATTGCATACACAACTACGAACTGTGATGGAGTATTTACTTTGGTAAGAAAACATTTGGTAAGCAAGTATGAGTAATCATTCAATCTGGATTTTTTTTAAAAAATTCTCCTCATTAATGTGCAGGAAAAGGAGAAGGAAACTGATCTGTTAGATGCAAAGGACAAGGAGGAAGAATTGGCTTATGTGGAAGAGGAAGATGCAAGGAGGAAGAATTGGCTTG